GGCATCACTGACAGCTCTTTGTCCCCCCTGCAGACACGAGCCACCAGGCCCGCTCGGTGTCCAGCCGGCCCTACTACAGCCTGCCCAACAGCAGCCATGAGCGCCGCTCGGTGCTGGCCATGGCGGAGCCGCCGCGCTTCCACGCGCAGGCCAAGGGCAAGAACGTGCGTCTGGACGCGCACTCACGCCGGGCCACGCGCAGGAACAGCTTCTGCAACGGCGTCACCTTCACCAACCGGCCCATCCACCTGTACGAGAAGGTGCGCCTCAAGCTGGTGGCCGTGCACCACGGCTGGAGCGGCGCCCTGCGCTTCGGCTTCACCATCCACGACCCGTCGCAGATGAGCTCCGAGGAGATACCAAAGTACGCCTGCCCCGACCTCGTCACCCGCCCCGGTTACTGGGCCAAGGCTCTGCCCGAGCGCTTTGCGGTCAGGGACAATATTTTGGCCTTCTGGGTGGACCGGCACGGCAGAGTTTTCTACAGTATTAACGAYGAGGAGCCCATCTTGTTTCACTGTGGTATCAAAGTCTCCGGCCCGCTCTGGGCGCTCATAGATGTCTACGGCATCACCCACGAGGTGCAGATCCTAGGTAAGCTGGGCTTTGGTTCTGTGGGCTGCTCTTCTGATCTTCTAGGAAAGATCCATGATCTGTGTGATTTATGGGGCATTTAGGAAAATTAATTAGCTGTTGGTTTTGTACCTCCAATTAGCCATTTTTCTTCTGCCAGCAGTAGGGATCCAGACAGCAATACGTTTCAGAGATGGCAGTGATGGAAAGTCCTAAGGCTGCACGTTATGTGAAAGGATAAATGGAAATCTTTACCTGTAACTTCACCCAGCTTTCTCTGAGCTGGATGTGCTGCTGTGGCATGAAAATCATGGAACAAGGTCCCAGGGGCTGAGGAGACAAATGGGACCAGTTCTGATTTGGGCTGTTCTTTCCCAGTTACCAGATACTGCCAGTCCATTGGAAAACCACCAGTCATTGCCCAAGGGTTTCCTGGAGCCCTTCTCCAGCCACTTTTGGGCTGGCCATAGTCCCACCCAGGCTGGCAATTTGAGGGGCTGGGTTTGCTATCATGACCTGAGTCACCCTTCCCTGGCACAGGGACATCACTCAGATCCCTGGATTCAGTCTGGCTGATTTACAGCCTCATCCTTTGGGAAGGCTCAGAGAGGGAATGAATCTGTTCCCATTAGCTCTCCTAGTTGATGGCCATGGAATGATTTTCCTTTCGTGGCTTTCACAGCACTGAAATTTCTAATTAATTCAGCGTTAGATGGAGTGTTTTGAACTGGGCTACACCACAGGGAACACTTTTAAAAATCCAAGAGAGCTGCCCTTTCCCGGAGGCCCCTCGGAGCTCATGGAGTTTTAACATCCAAAGCCAGCTGCTCCTGCCCGAGGGGATGGCACTGCCAGGCTGGCACGGAGCTGGCACCAGGGACAAGCTGAGGAATGGTGAGTCCAGAGGGCAGGCAGCTCCATCACACATYGCTCTGATTGCTGCCAATTATCTTACAGGCGAGAAGGCTGCACATAAACAGCGCTTTTCCCTGTCTGCTGTGCCTCAAATGTGTAATTAAACCTCACCAGCAGCTTCTCCTGTAATTGCAGTTGTGACACACTCCAGCCTCTGGTGCTCGTCACAGAGGAGAAGGAGTGTTTGCTGTATTGGCCAAGGCAGCTGCTCCACCAGAGCTCTCCTTTCTCCTTTTTAAATTGGAGTTAGAAAAATAAAATACAGCTTCTTTGTGCCTCCCAACCTCAGTTGTGCCTGCAGCATCCAAGTGTTTGCAGTGAAAGACTCAAGCTGAGAGTACCTGCACTCTGATGGGAGTTTTTTTAAAATTAAAATACCAAACAAGTGTTGGTGCTGGGCTGCTTCACTTCTCTCCGCTTTTGGAAGACCAAGGGTCTGCTCCATTCATACAGACTCTTAAATTCCACATGCTTTGACTTTGCTCAGTGAGTTAAACCCTTTGGAGTGAAGCGTCCAGGCTGCCCCAGGCAGGGCTGGAAGTTGAAGGGAGGACACTCCCAAACTTTCCCACACCTTTACATCACCCCCAAGCCTGGCATGGCCCAAGTGAAAACCTGGGAAATCAATTAAGGATCAACATCCTGACTTTCCCTTTGCTGTGAAAACAACTTTCTGCTGTAAAAGCTTTCTAACACCTGCAGGAAGTAGCTTTTGTGACAAGCTCTCCATTCAAAACCCCTGAGATATGAGGCTTGAAACRACTTTTCTTGGGACACACCTGTGCCTGGACACAGGTGCAAGGCAATGACGAGGAGCATGGAACAAATATCCATTCATCCTTGTGTTCCTTCACTGCATTGTTGATTTGTCTCGCACGAGACCTTGGGACAACAAAATATTGAGATGTTTTCTTTTTTTTACGGTGTAACCTCAGAGCTATCAGATCCTTCTCCTGAGAAAGCTGTAGGACCACAGTGGTTAGAGCTTTTCCCAGTTCCCCAGTGCAGGGAGCTCCCAGACCACAGTGGTTAGAGCTTTTCCCAGTTCCCCAGAGCACAGGAGCACTTTGGAACCCTCCTTTTGCCTTGGTCAGTGCTGAGATGCAGCCATTCCTGTGCCTGCTCCACGCGTGCCTCTGCACCGGGAGCTGTTCATTAGTGCCTGACCTGGGGCTGGTTTTTCCTTGCAGAGGAGCAGTCTGKAGGCTGCAATAATCATTGTAAACCTTAAAGCAGTCAGTTTGCTCCTGACTAACGCCCGTGTGCCTGGCTTTCTCTCACAGACAGCATGTTTGCAGAGACCATGAGCAGCGCCCGKCTCAGCAGCGCCCGCCTCAGCACTTGCCTTCCGCAGAGCAACCACGACTCGGCCAACTTCAACAACAACGAGCTGGAGAACAACCAAGTGGTGGCCAAAATCGCCAACCTCAACCTGAGCCGGGTCCCGGGGCTCGGCACTGACAACCACATCATCCCCTGCTGCCCCAACCGGCGGCAGCACGCCCAGGGACTGCCGGCTTTCCTGGACACRGACCTGCGCTTCCACCCCACGCGCGGCCCCGACATCACCTTTTCCCAGGACAGGATGGTGGCCTGCACCAACTGGCAGGAGAGCAGTAGGACTTTGGTGTTTTCCGACCGGCCTTTGCACATCGGGGAGAGYCTCTTTGTGGAAGTGGGACACTTGGGGCTGCCCTACTACGGGGCCCTCTCGTTCGGCATCACTTCTTGCGATCCGAGCACTTTACGGACAAACGAGCTCCCGGCGGATCCGGACTTTCTGCTGGACCGCAAGGAGTACTGGGTGGTTTACAGAGCGTTCCCRGTCCTCAACAACGGTGACATCCTCAGCTTCATGGTCCTGCCCAACGGGGAGGTGCACCACGGGGTCAACGGCGCCAGCCGGGGGATGCTGATGTGCGTGGACACCTCGCAGTCMCTCTGGGTGTTTTTTACAATCCACGGTGTGATCAACCAGCTCAAAATCCTGGGTAAGTGCAGCCAAAAGGAAGGAGAACAGGGCACCTGGTTGGGGAGGCTTCCTGGGCCAGATGCAGAGCTCTGGGTTTGCATTCCTGCTGTTCACTGCTCCTTGTGTGGCAAACAAGAGTGACCGAGACATTGGACCTGACACGGAGATGTGTGCAGCCTCCATGATTCCCCCAGGAAAGSATGAGACTTGAGAAACAAAACAAGCAGCAGGCAGGGGGGCAGGGAAGGCTGTGGGGGGCAGCTGTTTTTCAGTGGGTTTGTATTTAAAAGGAATTCTTTATAAACAGGGATGGCTGTGGGAGGCAGCTGTTTTTTCAGTGGGTTTGTTTTTAGCAGGRATTCTTTATGAACACGGTTGGCTGTGGGGGGCAGCTGTTTTTCAGTGGGTTTGTTTTTAGCAGGGATTATTCATAAACTCCCTGTTCCAGCCAACAGGTATTAAACTTGTGCCTGGGTGAGGATGATGGGTTTTGGGAGCACAGCTCTGGTTTAAGCACGAGCAGTTATTGCTCCTGCAGCACTGCCACAGCTCGGGGGTCAGCTGGCACCTCTGATCCATTGCTGGTGACCAATTCCAGCCCCGCTCCTTTCCTCCTGTTAAGGATTCCATCAGAAAAGCAGATGTTAATGACTGTGTAAAGCAGGGTTTTGTCATCCAAACACTGGCAGTGTTTGAGCCAGCCACAGCTTGAGCCCACTGCTGCTGGGGATAGTGGGACTGTGKGGAAGAGACTCTGCACCCCAAATATTGGATAACCTGCTGCTTGTTTCACATGAGGTGCAGGCCCTGGGGGTCACATCCCAAATCCCGACCGGTATCATTAATAAGGTGCAGCATTAACTCAGCAGCTGGAGCTGTCCTGAACCCCTTGTGCAGGTGTGGTGGGAGCAGCTCAGCAGCCGAGGGGYTTTGGCTGGGGTTGGGCTGTCCCTCCCGGGGCTCAGCTCTCTCCTGTGTTCCAGGCACGGTGCAGTCCAGCCCGGTGACGGTGTCTCCCTCAGGATCCCCCGGTGGCTCCCAGTACGACAGCGACTCGGACATGGCCTTCAGCGTCAACAGGTCATCGTCAGCCTCAGAGTCCTCACTGGGTAAGGACAGCCAGGGCTTGGCTCTTGGAGTGAATGTCACATCTCCTGCCAGGCTGGCAGAAGRAACTGGAGGAAAGTGCTAGAAAGGTTTGCATGGCCTGAGAAAGGGCTGCAGGCTGCTTGTGTCAGCACCAGRGTGGACAGCAGGAGCAGGGCAGCGATTGTTCCCCTCCCTGTGCTGGCACTGCTCAAATTTTGTGTCCAGTTCTGGGCCACTCATGACAAGAGACACCTTGAGGGGCTGGAGAGTGTCCAGAGAAGGAAATGGAACTGGGGAAGAGTTTGGAGCCCCAGGAGCGGCTGAGGGAGCTGGGAAAGGGCTCAGCCTGGAGAAAAGGGGGATCAGGGGGGATTTGGGGCTCTGCACAACTCCCTGACAGGAGGGGGCAGCCAGGGGGGTCGGGCTCTGCTCCAGGGAACAGGGACAGGAGGAGAGGAAATTGCATTTGATTGTGACAAGAGTGATTTAGTTTGAATACAGGAATAATTCCTTTATGGAAAGGGTGGTCAGGTATCGAACAAGCTGCCCAGGGAAGTGGTGGAATCACCATCCCTACAAGTGTTCAAAAGATGTGTGGATGTGGCACCCGCCCCAGCTGTAGAAAAGGGATAGSAGGCTCTACCCAGAGCTGTAATGTGCTGCTGGTTGGAACACMCTGGGATTTGTTGGGCCAATCATTTAATTCTCCTTGTTATTTGGTAGCGGGTAAAATTATCCTGGAAGGTTTTTGTATCGGCAGTGAAATTGTTGATCTGTRTGACCTCTAGAATTTGAGACCTCAAGAAAACAAGTAAGAGGCAGMCCAAAGAATGAGCTTTTGAGTTAARTTTGTAGGCGATSACTACAGAGAGCCTTAAAAAMYGACTCAAAGATGCTGTCCAGCATCACCTTCACCCCAYCCCAGTGACCAAACACCCTCACTCCCCTCTCTTCTTTCGCAGTGACTGCCCCCAGCTCCCCCCTGAGCCCTCCCATCTCTCCCGTCTTCTCCCCTCCGGAGCCATCGAGCAGCAAGAACGGCGAGTGCACCGTTTGCTTTGACAGCGAGGTGGACACGGTGATCTACACCTGCGGACACATGTGCCTCTGCAACACCTGTGGTCTTAAGCTGAAGAAGCAGCTCAACGCCTGCTGCCCCATCTGCCGACGGGTCATCAAAGACGTGATTAAAATCTACCGCCCGTAGCTGCGGGAAGGGGCAGCGCCGCTCGCAAACCACGCCTTTCCGTCCCTGCTTCTGGGTTATCGTGCTGGTCAGTCGTTATCAAGTGGCTCGTTATCTGTGTTTCCTTATTTGACTGCTAGGGCACAATTCAGGGAGCGAAGCTGAGCATCGTGCGGGCACGGCTGCGGTGCCGGCCCGGGGATCGCCGGGACCCGAGGCAGCTGCAAATGAGAAATTTCCCGTGCCAAGGCTGTTTTATCCCTCCTCCCGCTGCGGGGAAAGCTGGCTGTGGGGTGGGTTGGGATGGGGAGGTTGGCACTTGGGCAGTGCCAGGTGCCACTGGGCTCCCGACCCTAAAATTTGGCTCTGGGCTGCTGCCAGGGGCTTTGTGCTGTGGTGGAGCAAAACTGGGATAAGGATCTGCGGGAGGGAACAAAGGGGACAGGATCCATCTGGAAATGTCACGTAAGAACTAGCTCAGGCCAGCTCATGGCACAGCCACATTGTCACTTGTTTGGGTTTCATCCCCACAAACAGCCTCGTGGGGACATGGAGATGCTGGTCTGGGACAGATGAAGCAGCCTTTTGTTTTTGGGGCAGAACAGGAGCTTTTTGAGAGCCAGGGAGCTGCCCTGGGGTAGCAGTGAGGGACACGAACCCACCCCGAGCCCGGGCAGCCCCTGCAGCGATGGAGCTGTGAGGAGAGCTCAGGCCGGCCCTGCTGCCTTCTGAAGCCATAAACTGCAGCCTGTGGGTGGCAGGGGGTTTGGATGGGCACAYTGCAGCCCTGCCTTGGGCAATGATRGCTTTGTCACCTCCACACATTTTGCTGTGCCCTCCTGGCTGGTGGCACAGCTGCCGTGTCACCCCATCCTCAACCTCCCCCTGCAGCCGGTGCCATGGCAGGGCTCAGCCTTCCTCCTGCCCCACCATGGGGATTTTTCTTTTTGAGCCTGTGGTGAGAAATTAATTTCTGACCCAGTCCCAACAGGCTCATTTTTATTTTCTGGGGCTGTCTGTGCTGATTTTACCTGTTTTCTCCTGCCTTTSCAGGTTTCCCAGCACAGCTCCCAGYTGCCTGCACGCTGGGTCTCAACTGTAGATGAGACCTTGTTGAGAAAAACAGGGACTATCTCACTTGGCTTTACTTAGGAGGAAAGAAAAAGGCTCTGAGGCTGGTATTAGATGTTGGGATTTCAACGGTAAATGGGTTTTGGGTGTGGTGTCAGCGACAGGCAGCAGCTGGAGGAGCTGGGCTGGGYTGAGGAGCTCAGCATCCTTCTTCCCTGCCCTCCATCCTCCATCCTCTGCCCCCTGCACAYCCCTTTGAGTCCTTCAGCCTGAGCCCAGCCAGTTTCCAGCTGCTCCAGGCTCATCCAGAGGGGAAAAGAGAGGATGGAAATGGGAGGATGAGAGCGGAGCTGTGTCACCGCAGCTTGGTGACCGTGTGCCACCGAGGGCGTAACAACAGCTTTCAGAAAGGTGCAATTACCACATTTGAGTCTGGAGAAAGGAAAAATGGATCAACAACTGTACATTTCGGGGCTTCTGGGTGCAGCCTGAGGGATGTGTGGCCACCCCCTCTCTCCTCCAGGGCTGTGGATGAG